TAACACATACAAAATAGATTTTTCAAAATCAAAATCATTTATTGATATAGGTTGTTACCTAATGAATAAATGATTAGAATGTACACTAATGAACGTGAAAAAAATTACATTTACTGCCAGTTCTCACATCAAGGGCGTAGAACGGAAGAGAAGAACTCCGTCATTTTTTTTAATCGTCAAGTTTTTTGTTTTACACGATGTTTGTAAGGAGTTGCAACATGCTCCACATGACATCTTAAGTAATTAATAGTTAATTAATAATAATAAAATAAATTATAAATAAAGATTTATTCTATATCAGCAGGAGGCATGGTGAAATAGGATCACGCACTTACATTCCCGTGGGAACAACACGCAAATTATAGTCGAAATAACTAACATCAACGCATTCACGAATTCAAGTCCTTAAATATTAAATGTCCACATGTCTATAGTATTAATCACTATTTAAAAAAATGGTGCAGTCGACTCTCGATAATTTGACACTCGTTAATTTGAATCTCTCGGTAGTTAGAAATTTATCTATGGTCCCTTGAGTTTCAAATTATCGAGAGTCGACTGTACCATTATATTATCGCAATTTTAATCAGCGACTTATAATTTACACCAATACTCATTCTATCAATTTTAATAAAGATCAAAAGCGTATATTAAATTAATGAAAGCATGCTCTAATTAATTTTAATTAATATTGTCATGTGCTTGCGCCGGCCCTGCAACGCGCAATTTGAACCGGTATAATGACGTCAATGGGTGGGGACGATAAAAAATATCGACTGACGGGAAACAATGCATAAATTAACGACTATTGTTACAACTTGTTTTTTTTAACATCACAAACGCTAAATAAGTCTTAAGGTAATGTTGCCCTTATTATTCTGATGCGCGAATACTCTCAAAACAGGTTATGATCACGGCCATTCAAACTCTGTCCAGTTGTAACTACTCATGTATGACATACTTATGAGGAAAAAGGCTATGACGCCGCTTTTACGGTGCATGGTATTACAACTTCTGGGTCTTCGCCTCAGATTTCTGTATATTTTTGATTATCTTTTTTACATAGATCAGCCTTCTGTACCTGACATACGTCTTTCATTTTTGGGTCTAAGACTTGCTGTTTACCTTACAATATTTTTCCTTCATGAAGTGAGTGTTATTTATTTATAAAAAACAATCCTGTCCTGACATGTGACCCTAAAGGTGGGAACTGACCAAAGTTACTAGGTGTAATGTAGCATTCGCATCGAGCGTGTTACGCATCGAGCATGTTACGCTGTGTTCTATAATCGGCGTAACATGCTCATCAAAACTCTGTGCTCCACTTTCGCCGCCAGTGTTCACGAGATGTGATAGTGATAATGTTGATATCTTTCATTCTATTTAATTATTGTTTCATCCAAATTAACAAGAAGAAAAAATTTTACTGGACATAAAACTGAAACTAACTAACTAACGAAAACTGAATTTAAAAACACAGGCGTATGAAATGATTACTGGACAGTATAAAAACTTTGTACGCAGGTCTCGATTTTGAAGAACTGTTGAATTTTATAGGACCAAAAGTACTTAAAAAAGACACAATTTATAGAAAATCATAATCATGATCACTCGCGACGTGCGACGCGTAATTACTGAACCGCGTAACAGTTAAGTCAAAGGATTCGCCAAAAAACCGACAGCCGGGTGGAGCGCTCAAAGCGAGCAACGAGCGGCTCGTTGCTCGCTGGTTTCCCCGTAACACGCCGTACTGACTGCACGTATGCTCGCTGTGTAACGTGTTACATTACACCTCGTAACGTTGGTCAGTTCCCACCTTAATGTGAAAATAATGTACAATAAATGAAAAAAATATACAAACGTAACAAAATCAATCAATCAAAAATAAATACAAACATTAAATAACTACTATAGGCAACCTAACAAATAATAGAAGTCTTTATTTATTTTTTCTATATTTTGTCAGAAACGGACAATAAAAAAGGTTAACCTATGTAAAATATATAATAATAATATATGTATGTTAAATGCATACATAGAAAGAAAAATTAAGCCCACCTCGAGTTACGGTTTGCTCAAGCTACTCTGCCAACAGTGCTCTTCGTTCGATATTTTGTTGTATCATAAGAGGGTAGGATCGTTATCCTCAAGTCTGCCGGTAGACTAACCAATACCAACATTTTCGTATGCAATTTCGATTTAGTTCGACCAGTAGTACCTCGCAGTACCAAAATTATATCGAGGATCGAAAAGGCTACTATGAAGAAGAAATGAATATGTCAGAACCTTCCCTCAGATGTTTTAGCACAATATATCGCATGAGCGGCGTATTCCTTAACATTTATAATATTAATAGGTCTATAAAACATTCAAACATCAAAGGAAACCAGAGAGAATTAGCAGCTGCAGCCGCGCATAATCATTTAATCATATAAGTTTGTTCGTTCGTAACGCTTCTTTAAACGCAATTATTTACACTTTTGTAACATTAATTTAAATTCAAGTTAACAATTAAGTATGTAAACTATATACTATGTATACTTGAAAATATTGTAGAAAAGTTATGGCGCGTTGCTCCAGATATTTGCAAAAGATTCGCATTTAGGTTCATGTTTAACGAATGTTAAAATCAGTGTTGGCCCAGTGGCTTCAGCGTGCGACTCTCACCCCTGAGATCGTAGGTTCGATCCCCGACTATGCCTCATGGACTTTCTTTCTATGTGGGTGGTAACAGTCGAGGGCGTGTGTCACGCACAGGCTGATCACCTACTTGCCTATTAGATTGACAAATGATTATGAAAACAGATTAGAAAATATGAGGCCCAGACCAAAAAAGTTGTAGCGCCACTGATTTTTTTTTATTTTTGATTAATTGAATGTTGATTTAGTAAGTTAAATATAGTTTTATAATTAGTCAAGATTAACTTATTCATATATTTTCTTTTGTCCATTTCGTCAGTTACTTATAGTATATGTAAGAGATATATACTGGATACATGAAGTAATATATACAGAAATATATATAGAAACCTCAAGTAGATAATACCTAAGATACAAAATGAGTTTGAAACTTGAACGAGAATTGAAACGAGATACAAGCGGTGACGTCAATGGCGTCCGTGAGGTTGTTTTGTGGCACAAGTCTGTTATGTACAAATTTACATTAGAATAATGGGCCCATTTGTATATATGTAATTTACCAAAATATACATTAACACTTGTATTATCTTAGACGAATTTAATGTACGAGTTTTAAACTAATTTTAATATGTTTAATAGTAGTCTGTACGACTAGGCATTTTTTGATATCATATAATTAAATATAGCGTTTGTGGCAGTGATTATTAATTTTTGAGATTGGTGCAATCGTTTTTGAGGTTATTCGTTACAAACATACAACCTCCCTCTTTTTTCCTAGTATAGAAAAAACCACTATCTCTAATACTTTGTTTTATTTGTTAAATAAAACCATCACATAGGCAGTTGATTTACCTAGCAATTAAAATTTTCTTTACAGCATCAAAACAAACCTTTTAAAGAAAATTATTGTCAATTAGTTGCGTAACGATGAGAAAACTCAAGTATTCTAACAATAGATATGAAAATAAAACTGTCGCCATTATTATTATTATTACATAACAAGTGAGTCATGAGTACAATCTTAATTGGCATCGGTATTTAAATCAAAACAATTTTCATTTGGCGTCTTCGTGTGGAATGTCAAAACGTCAGTTTTTTGTTTATTAGGTGGGCCGAAAAATTCGTATAGAAAAGGCATAGAAAAAATCTTTTTTTTATAGAATTTGATTTGATTATTCATTAGTAGCCTTCGAGAATGATACGATTTTAGCGATCTTACAATTTTTCGATACCATTTTTATAGTATGATTTATCTTTAGCCTCAAAATAGGCTTCAGTTCTAACGATTATAGCTAGAGGTTTTGGCAATCAATTTCCTCATACATATGTAAAATTTTCTTCTATTTTGGATAACAACATGAATGCTATTCTATCCAAATATTTACTTTTACGATAACTATACAATTTTACGTATTATTCGTCTAGTATGCATATTGGGGGCTCTATGTTCTTTCGATTTATTAGTAAAATATAATGACCGCTAAAACAATATCAAAAACAGCTATTTATCCACAGATACCAAAACATTTTATAGTACTTGAATAGTCATTTAAGCCATGATATCAAGTTAGAGTAATGCTCCATTTGTTTAACAATATCTAAGCGGATGTAAGCATCCGTTATGTTTATTGTAACTAACAGTTAATGCAGGAAACCCATGGATTAATATATGGCTCAGTGAACATGGAGGTCACTTTGACAGTAGTTAATGCTCTATATACATTTATATTTGTTTTCATTCATGTCCAAGACGTTATTTTTAAGCTTATTTTATACAGAACTGTGCAGACATTTGGCCACGATACTACTTTATATTAAGTGAGCGGCCTATAGGATGGCACGCCTGTCTAGGCCTATTTATCCGCCGCTTGAATGAACCCATGTTATTCTGTAAAGGAAAGATTGTAGGGAGCTGATTTTACAAGCGAAGCTCCAAAGTGTATTGTCAACCATGAAGGAGTGAAACTCCAGCGTGCTTCTAAACGAGCGTAGTTTCAAAGGGAATTTATATTTTAATAACATTCATGAATACATTGACTTAGTGCGTCAGAAACATAAATAAATAATTAATTCTTGCGATTTTTTAACTTAATTGGAGATATAAATCAATATTGACTTAAAACGCAACAATCTTCTGACGTCAAAGATGTCAAACATAATTTACATATTTTGTATGTAAATGCCTTTTATCGTAATATCAATAAAATTTTATCAATATTTAATAGTTCAACGCTTTTATGCTTACTGCGATTAAATTTATACAATAAAATATATTTTCTGTTTTATTTCATAACTGTTTACTTTTTTAATAAATCTAGTAGTTTATTCAATTAAATATGTAATAAACATTTTGTTTAATGTTAGTAAATCAAAATTCCTACCTTTTTCGGCATAGGTGGGGACTCAAATTCCTCATCATCCCGGCTGGAAAGCGTAGAACAAGATGAGCACGCAGAGTCAGCTGATAGGGATCTCGCACGCAGCCAGTCCACTTCTTCATCAGTAGCACCCACAGCGATACCATCAGAGTAGTCACTAACCACCACACTGGGAGTCCTCACACACCGCGCTCTGGTCTCACATCCCTCACTGCCGCGTCTCCCAATTTCCACCACATTAGCCTCTATTAATGTTCTCTCTCTTCTCGGCGACATGGGATCTGGTGGTGGTGTTATATCCCGAGGGTGGGAATGCCGCCTTCGCGGCTCCAGCTCGACAGCCGAATCGTCGCTCAGGTCACGGCTGCGGCGCCTGATCGCCGCTCTATCATCATCATCTGATGAACTAATGTCTTCTGGGGGTGTTATCGCTCGTGGTATACGCAAATACTGCATCGGTCCAGGTTCGAAATGTTTAAGAAGTTCTGATACGCGCGGTTGAGTTTGCCGATTGCGCGCGCGCGCAACAGTGTCGCTTTGTCGGCGCGCGGACTGATTCTGCGGCTGTGAGGACTCTCGCACATGCTCGGGGCCGATTCCTGCCCCAAGTTTCATGTAAAATAAACTATGGTTCAGTGCCTTTTCGCGCAGGATGCGGCGGAAGTCTTCCGGTGGTGGATTCTCTAGGCGAGGCATTCTGGAAATTCGTTTATGTAAATTATATTTAAAAGTCATAAAATTACTTTATCTTGGCAATAAAAGCAAGTTTCAACTGTAAGATAACAAATAAAAGTGTCTAGTTAACGTATGTACTTTGAGATAACTGGCTTTATAATGTAGTTTAAATATTAAAAGCAAATACACTATTCACAGTTCGTTACACAATTCCATTAGTTTCATCGTAACGAAAACTTGTAACTAAATACAGTATGCAAACAAGACTTTTAAGAGTAATACGGAAAACGAGTTTAAAGACAAACTTTGTAAAAAATATAAGGCAAAAGATGACAATAACAGAGGTTTGAACCTTGAAAGAATGTACACAAGTATATTATGCATGCAATTTTGTAATCCATATCAGCACTTTACATTCGTTCGCGATGACGCAAGCTTTGTAAGAATATATAGACGCAGTTTCATGAAATACCAATAAACATTTAATTGAAATACCTTATTTTTGTCGAAGTTTGCTTCACGGTGTAATTTCCATGCAACCTGGAAACGAAATATAAAAATTTATGTTATTGGTACGCATAATTCTTAGATGAAATATTTAATACTATTATATATATTTATGTAAGTGTAATAATAATTGTGTAAGGTTGAACCTCATGTTAGAGAGCGTTCAAGTATTACGTAACGAATTTAGGGGTGGGGGGGGTCCTTTTATAAAACGTTACTTTACGTTAATATTATTTTCGATTTTCCAGTACGTTACACCACATAATGAGTGCAGAAAACCGTTACGGCGCGTTACATGGAGGGGGGTTAATAATCTCCAAAAATTGCGTGACGTAATACTTGAACGCTCCCTTATTTTTTAGTTTAGTATTAATCAAGCAGAAACGTTGGTAAGTGGCCGGATGGCGTTGATCCCTTGGAAGATGGGACGGGTTTCAGTATGGGATGCTACTTGTATCACGTTAGTCCCGTCTCACTTCCCTCGGACAAATAAAAATGCTGTGGCGGCTGCAGAGCAGGCGGAAAATAATAAACGGCTCAAATATAAGAGTCTTTCCTCCAACTTCGATTGTGTTCCCTTTGAAGTAAAGACTGTTGGGCAGTGGGGTTCAAGTGCACAGAGCTGGTGCTTTCCACGTTCAACGAATAAATATCGCAATACAGCGGGGAAATTCAGCCAGCGTTAAAGGTACACTGCCACAGGGACCAAACTTTAAAAAAAAAAATTTAATTAATTTTTAATTACTTGTTTTTACTACATTTAGAAAATTTTTAAAACTTTATATTTGATTGTCATGTTTAGGTTTTAATTAACATTAATGTTTCGTTATTGTATAACTTTATACATTTTGGATTTTAAACGGACGTTTTTAAATTTGTTTTAAATTTCCATATGCATTTTTTATTATTATAATTACTATATAGGTTAGAAATATCAAAAATACTTTATATTTTTGGAATTAAAAATAGACCAAATAGTTATACTTTGTAAAATCTAGTATCTTATATTTAAAAACATCTTAGGTCTCAAGGTATAAAAGAAATATGTTACAACAGGTGTTATAATATTTTTTTAAATAATGATGACGTTGTAATTGATGACATTAATGTATACGTGTAAGATATAGTGAGATTATTTTCATTTGACAATTAACAATTATGTTATCTCATTACAACTTGAAACATTTCTCACTTTTTTCAATTCTGATAAAAATACAGAAATTGACAGCCTTGAAGAAGTGAAGTCTAGCCTAACAGAAGAGATTGGACCATTTATTTAAATTAATTAGTTTACAAGTAATTGTATTGCTGTGGTATTGTATCAATTAAAGTATCAATTTATTTTTGTCGATGCAAAAAAATACAAGTGAAATTTATAACCGAAATCGTTTTCTATACTCGGTTAAAAATGGGAATTCTCACCCTAAAACACTACTGTACTTGTTTAAGAAATGTCATCAACATCAACTTGGTTTGTTTTACTGCATAGAGTCTAGAATATGTTTTAGCCTCCTCAAGCCATACTAATGGTTCTAGACGTTGTACCTATAGGACAAATCCTTCGGCAGGGCAGGGTCCTTTAAGAAAAGAGGGTATCAATTCTTAAAAGGCCGGCAACGCACTCGCGAGCCGTCTGGCATTAAGAGTGTTCATGGGTGGCGGTATTAAATAACATCAGGTGAGCCTGTTTGCCCCCTATTTTATGTTACGGAAGAATTCCCTATTCTATAAAAAAATAAAATACAAGGGATTAGGGAATAGTTAAAAAGGAATTAGCATCGGTTAACCACACCAAAACTACAGGGGTATGTTGGCCTTGACTCACTCCAGGCACTCTCCTACTCAAAGAGCAGGGTGAATATCCTTTTTTCCCAACACGACCACAACAAACGGATCTCGGCATACCCTGATAAATTCAACCGTAAATATGAGAGAATTTATTTCAGTAGGTAGACATCCCTACTTATCGGCAAAGAAGACAGAGGGTGTAGGCCGAGAGAATAAGCCGGCGTTAAAAACTCTCGGTACTCTTTTAAAATATCAAATCATCATACAAAATGATTATGGCAAACATAGATAGAAGGAACCATAAGGAGGCAGATACGGTCCGCTCTTTATTTGTATTGAATTACAAAACAAGCTGCTGTGATCTCTGGCAGAATGACCAGCGCTGAGGAACATTCTACTCCTCAGCATAATGCTGAGCCAGGGCCAATACAGCCACAGCACACACGCATTACACACTTGAAACGAACTGAATAGGAAAAGGGAAAAAATATATATATTTTTTTTTTCTTTGATTATTGTTATTCTGTGTGTTTTTGTTAGTAATAAATGTTATGTCTATGTCTAAACTGAACGGAAATCTCGCAGTCCAGTTTCCGGGAGTTTGAGGGAATTAAACGAACCGTCACACAACGCCATCGCCCCAGTTATATTTGAGTAAGCACGACTTCTCAGGCTTCCCAGTTAATAAAACTAAACCTAGTGCGCATGTCACGCATCTCCCTTCCATCAGAAAAACAGCACCACAAGACAGCAAGTACAGCAACCAAAGACAGTATTTATTCGTGTTTTATAGATGTGTAAAATAAAGTCACGGTTATTTTTTACGAAAGACAAGATCAATACTTATACAGTCTTGAACCTACATCGGCCTTTAACTTCGCCATTCACATAGAACCAATGACGCAAATGCAACTCAATGAAAAAATCTTGTAACACCTGGTCGTACAAATTCAACGTTATATTAATCATAATTTAATCTTTAACAATTATTATTGGAAAAGTGATAAATTAACTGTATTTTCTCATTAATACAATATTAACCTTTATGTAATTAATTTAATTATCAGTGACAAAAAATGCACGAAATGTTCGTGTAATTTTTTTTATTCAGGGCTAACTGGCAAGCTCACTTGATGTTAAGTGATATACCGATGGACACTCACATTGCCAGAAGGCTCGCAAGTGCGACCCTTGAAAATACTTTAGTGGGCAGCTGGTCCGGGTAACGGGATCTAGCCGCTCAGAAATTGATTGGTCGTCGAGAATTTGAATCGCTTTTCGTTGAATACGGTGAATTCTTTCATTATGGTCCATTGGTGCTTAACGCGAGTACACATTTACGGAAACTAATTAGTTATGTTATATGTAAATAATGTGATAAATCCGTGATTGTATCCTATATTAAAATAGACGATTTTCTTTAAATAGTTCGCCAAACTAAAACTTCGGATGCTCCAATTATAGAACGGGTCATCCGTTCTATTTTATTAATATGCCACAATTTAATTGAAACTCTCTTCATTGATTGCAGCCTTGCGATTCTGTAAGTCACTTTTCGAGGTCCCTCCTTGTAGTTTATTGTTTATCAGAATGCCAAATCGTAAAATAACTTCTTTACGACTGATTTGAGCGCCACCGCCGCTGCGAAAACCGCTGTGTGAGTTCGAAAAGTGAGTTACAGAATCGCAAGGCTGCATTTGCTAATTACGCATCCACACAGTCGTATCCTCGAATGTTCTTTGTGAAATCGTCATCACACGTCATACCTATCATTCAATCATCGCTTCCGTCCTAGACATGTCTGATGTTAGTGGGCTTTATGTATTGGTTGGAATGTACTGTATGGCAGGTAAGGACCCGATAATAGTCTACCATATGACGGGTCAAAGGAAATTTTCATGGCGATTGTACTGCAGTACAAACACTGTTAGGTCAATGACGTATGAAAGAATAAAGAAGGTCTGCGAAGCAATTTATTGGATTCATATTGGTTCCCCTTTGGTATAACTATACAACAATTTTATTGCAGAAATCGATTAATGTTGAAATATAATGAATTGTCATAGATTCAACATATTTAGGGATCTGCATTGCTACTCTGTAAGATTTATAACAAATTCTAATGTCTCACTAAGTAATTGTTTTCCTTTTCTTTTGTATTGCATCACTATTCGTATTTTTTTGTATTACTTTAGATTAAGGTTCTATATTTATATATATATCATTTGGTTCTGCAGTTCTTGCACTCATCATGTTTCTTTTTAGTTTTTCTCTTACTATGGTTGCCTGGAAGAGATCGCTTATTACCGATAAGGTCGCCCGTTGCATCCCTTATAATTTTTATGTATTGTGTGTGTCTTTTGTTTCTATTGCAACGAAGTGTGAATAAATAATTTACGGAATAGGCTTTAAATAATTTCGTTGCATCTCTTTCAGTTTCAGTAAACTTGAAATTGCGACCTACGTAAAATAAATATTAGAATCGCAGTTGGAGTTGTGGGGTGTGCCTGCATATTTATTTTCTCAACACATCCACGTGTCCTCAGTATTAAATGACGTCAAACGCAGCCTTGCCTTTAAGGGCATCACCATCACTGCCCAATTCTTAACATATGTGTACAATAAATTGGCTGAAGAGTACTCTTTGTTGAAGGTCAAATAATTAAATATTAAAAAATAAATTAGTCGGAGGCCAAGTTCATTATGTGTACAATTATCGATTTATA